AGATATCCGTGCTACCTTTGCTGTTACCAATGCTTGCTGTACATCTTTTTTTATTGACAGTTTTGATTAATGGTCTGCTGTTGTAAAGTAAACCATGACTCTGTTATCACAACCTGTTTGTTGGATGACATATTATGATATGATATAGATATTTGAACTATACAGTATATGAATGAAATTCATGCACAGACACACGTTGCCTCTCTTTCTGTTTCTCTCTCTCTCACTATTTCTAGTTCTCGCTCTCACACCTCTCTTAAACACATGAACACATGCAAATCACACAAACCCTAATTATTCCGTGCAGTTAAACCCCTTACAGAGACACTGCAATGCACGCTGTATAGACGCTTCTTACTAATTACTGCAGATTCACTATTACAGGTTCAATAACACATCCTTTATCTGTTGACTTTATACAATGACTGATGTGATAGCATAGCTCCATTATAAGAATTTTTTGGTTTATGAGTTAACAGAGAGCATCTGTAAACTGACACAATCTATGAATGTCTTCATATTGAATGGAAACAAGAACTATTGTGGTTGCACTGACAGATTGGATAAAACATTAATGTGTCAGCAAAATTGTAAAGAAACAAAGCATTACATAGAAAATATAATAGAGTGACTACATGTACTAAGTTAAACTATAAAATTATACTGTCCTATTTCTCCAATTTGGGAATGACAGCTTATGACAACAACAAAGAGAAGAATCACTTCAGCAACAACAGCATGCTGTTTCTCCTGCCTGTTGTTTTACAGTAGAGTAACTAATTATGTGATTTTTGGGCATTGTGCCATTACTTTCCAAATGAGTGAACATTGTGTTGGTGTGCCTCTAGTTTTATCTCAGGGGTCTGGCATGTGTGTGTTTGGGCATGCTCCATATTGCTGTGTCCTGGTTTTCATCTTGTTCCGGCTCATGTTTCCCTGGACCCGCCCCTGCCCTACTTACTCCAGAAACCAGTGGAGGCGAGCGCAGATTTGGAAATAAATGATTAAGTGGTAGTTGGATTAAATACTAAGAGTGATTATACATCTTCCCCCCACCTAACTCTCTCTCTGTCTCTCTAAATTTATCCATCTATCTATCTGAGGTAATTCTCAACCCCTCTATTGTCAGACTTCTTTATCTTCCTCTGCCATTTCCTTTCACTTTTTACTTTGTTTGGGTTCATCTTTTACAATTACACTTCCCTATGTTCTGTTTCTATTACATTATGTCTTGTTACCTCTTTATCTATATTAGTCTCCTCTGCTTTATCAGATAATCTAAATCATTAGTGTACTGCTACATTTGGGTGTGGTTCTAGTCACACTGTTTCTAAAATCAGGTGTTATGTGAGCCACATATCTGCTTTTTGTCAGAGAATTGCCTCCGAATTTCGACCCTATGAATTAGGTTCAGCACACAAAGAAAAAGCACAAGAAAAGAATAAATAGATCTGAACACTACGCATGATATGGTGCTTGAAGATAGGTACTGAGCAAAGAAGGAAACATGCACAAGGAGTATGTTGCCCCCTTGTGCTGTGATGAGCTCCACACAAAAAACAGCCCAATGACATCAGCATCTCGTCACATGAAGCAGGATGTAGAATGCGGACTGCAGGAGTGGGGGGTGGTCCCCAGAGCCCTTGCCTAGAGTGGGTTGGGCAGGCTGAATGCAAAGGTCAGGCTCTCTGTGGGTAGTGGGGGTGGAAAGAGAAGCAGGCGCTGCTGCTGAAGTGGAACTGTCATTGTGAATATGCTGCTGCAGTGCTATATTACCAATGCATGAGCAGCCCAACTGTGGACAGTTGGTATGGTATGCATGAGTGTGAGTTTGACTTTGAGTTTGTGTGTGTGTGTGTTGCGCCTGTCACAATAATATGATCTTATTCATTAAGTGAAATGAAAAGGGCTGTGTAAAAGTGAACACAGATAAAAATGTAGAAGTCGGTAAATTATCCAGTGTATTACTTTTTGTATTATCCCATGCTTTTTGAAAAATAAACCCATAGGCTTCTACATTAGTGAGGGTGTGCGTGTTTATGCACACATGCATCATGTCTGCGCCTGAGATGGCGTTGCTATAGAGACAAGAGAGCTGTGCAGAAGGAGAGAGGAAGGGGTGTGTGTATGTAAGGGGGGGGGGGGACTCGCCTTGGAGCATGTTCAGATAGCACCCTTCCCCCATCTACTCGCACACAGATGAACAGTACAGTACACACCCTTATAACACAAACTTATTCACAGGCACAAACACAACCGATGGCTATATAAAGGACTATCATGAGATCATTAGCACGAGAGAGATACAGAAGCTAATTTGGTGACTATATGTGGTGGTGGCCCTTTAATAATGCAGTGAAAAAACACTGCTGCTGACTGCTTCCGCCCACCCCCCTCCCTTCACCTACCACTCCCTGCTCCCTCTGCCCCTTTGATCACACTGCTCTTGGTGCTTCCCTCCTGTTTCTCCTTCAACTTTATCACATGATAAAGGTAAACCTCAGACAGAGAATCAGGTTAACAGGCACACATTTATTTTATTCAACCACTAGATTTATTATGCACAGCTCCCTGTGTTCAGGGAGCAAATACTGTGTATTTTTCTTAACCACTATTTATTCACTATTAATTATTCAGCAAATTCAATTACCATATCCTCAGGAAATGTGACTTTCATCAATGCAGAGTGCGATACAGAGTTAATAAATAAAAAATGAAAAACTGTCTTTATGAGGACTTGGTTAGTTTAATCAACTAAAACGTTAACAATCAAAGAAGCACACATATATATCTGTCTGTGCTTGTAAATTGCGATTTATTGTTCCTGCAAACAATTCTATTAATGGATTAATTGACCTCTCTGCAGATGCTTCCCAGAGGAGCTATATCTGGCACTGGTAGAGGGGGTGACGTGTGCTGAGCATCTTTTACATCTCCATGACACAATCAGGGTTTCCTCTACATGGCAAAGTGGGCATGTTCGGTAATAGGCCCGGACTTTGCTCTCAGGTTGGATTCAATACTACAGCCTCTGATATCATTTACATACTGTAGGTGGGTCACGCAGTACTAAGCTTACTTGGTGATTGTAAATGTAGACACTATTGGAGCTTTGTTTATTGTTTCTTGGAATGGTGTGACTGGTAGTACTACAGGTGTTTATTCCACATTTAAATGCTTTTTTTTTTTTTTACTTAGCCTAGAAAATAAGGTCATGGTGTCAGCAGGCCACAAAGCAGTATGTCTAATAATTTCTGTGCTTTTAAAGAAATGAATTCTCTTCACAGTGCTGAATAAACTGTAGCATCGTTGGTCCATGTGTGTCATGTTGATTTTATGACAAAGATAATCCAGACTGAAGTCCTGTTAGGTCGGCGCAGTATAGACAGTGACCTACAAATAAACTATGAATCACTGAATTTCATCATGGGCCGTCTGGGTCTGATGAGCCAGGTGGTGTGTGTGTGCGTGTGTGTGTGTGTTCTTGTACGTACATAAATAACGTACATGTGTACTCTACTCAGTGTCCTTGTACACAGTACTTACTATTTTCCCTTGTCATACATTAGGGAAATTGAACACACAGGTCATCCTTTGTGAGCTATTATTATTATTATTATTATTATTATTGCATTTTAGGGTTAACAGATGACTGTGGCTCAGTGTGTGATGGTTATTAATATTTTCAAATCAAATCATGTTTCCAACAGAATGGAAATAGGACAAGAGTTTCTGAATCCAGGGCTTAATCCTGGGATTACAAACGAGGGAATGTTCATAAGCTCATGACTACCGTCTCTGTGGAAATGTGGAGGAACACTAAAAATACACCAAAACACACCACAGCACACAGTTACCCCCTCTGTGTTCATGTGCAGGAGAATAATAGGGTCCAATTAACTTTATTTATTGCCCTTAGGCTGACAAAAAAAGGAGGAGGGAGTGCTGTGGAAGCAATATGATGTATTATTTGTGTGTTCAGTCTTTTATAGCCTTCAAAATATAGTTTGTTTGGGTAAACTGTTTTGGTAGGAGCACTTCCTGAACTCTTTGGATAAGGATACAGATGGGCACACCTAAAATCACAAGAGAACTCTCTTTTAAATAATTAAAATGTCTTTATTGTCACAGCATGGTCAATTAGGACCTCAAAACAAATTAAGACGCATCAAGCCTTCATCAGGGACTCAGATTGAAGGCTTGATGATTTCTATTGTTTAAAAGAGAGTGCCTTGGAGATTTCTTGTGATTTCTGCATAAAGTGTATGTTCTATTTTATGTGGTAAGTTTATAACATAAAAAATACATAAATGGAAGATGAAGGGCAACAATTGTCTGATAATTTACCTGGTGCAAATTAATAACTGTCTTCAGTGCAGGACACCCAAAATAAATGGCTGTATGTTGCAATTTCTGGTAGACATGGAGGATCAATGTCATCATGTCACCAAAACATCACAGACAAAGTCACAATAATTCAAATTACTGCCTAAATTAAACACACGAGAAAGGAGTGGGGTAGAGAAGGTAAGGAGGTAGGTCACTGTGTGTGTGTGTGTGTGTGTGTGTGTGTGTGTGTTTAAGGGGTTGCACCGTGTTTATGATGAAGACTTCTGACACAGTCACTACCCATCAGGAAAGGCAGAACAGGCTTCACATTCAGGACATACTCTGGTGTGCTGTCCATGGTGCTGAAACTTAATTTCCAGCTATTTCCAGTTAAGCTGTTCAGCGGTACATATACTTATCAGTATTTTTTGGGTGTGAAGCAATGGCTGCTTAAAATGAAGCAATATTACATTTTCACTGCTGTCTGCAAGTTGCCTATTTGTCCACGTGGCACCGCTGTTGATCCATCAGAGATAGCGCTGCTCTTTGATACAACTAGGCCCCTCCCGTTTTCAGGCGACTGGGTCATTTCCTCACTCTTTGTTATAAAGAGACGACGGTGGAACAAACAGAGAATTTTCCAATCATATTCAATGCTCACCTCGGCTGATTTCTCTCATACTGTCTAAAATATCTGACCGTGACTGGGAATCATATTAATGGTTCATTCATATTGGACAGGAATATGTCTTCGCCTTGCAGATGGAGCTATTTCGGGATATATCTAGGGCTTTTTCTACTGGATTGTTACTGGGAAACGGTGTCTGGGCAGCTCTCCTATTCCGTCTCAGAGGAGGTAAACCCTGGGACTCCTGTTGGAAATATCGCTAAGGACCTAAACCTTAATTCACAGGAATTGGAGCTCCGTATGTTTCAAATTGTTACTGGATCAAAGAGAAAATTCTTCGAGGTAAATCTAAAGACTGGTGTTCTGTATGTCAGTGAGAGGATAGACAGAGAGGAGCTTTGCGCAGAGGAACTTAAATGCTCAGTAAGTGTAGAAGCGGTGATAAATAACCCTTTGAAGCTTTATCGCATTGATGTAGACATTTTAGATGTAAATGACAATGCCCCATTGTTTACTACCAAATTGCAACATTTGTATATAGCAGAGAGCACTTTACCAGGAGTGAAATTTGCATTATCTGAAGCAACTGATGCAGATGTGGGGAAAAATGGAGTGAGTACTTACAAATTAAGCCAAAATGAACATTTCTCTTTGGCAGTGCACAAAGCAGGTGACAGTGTGTCTGCTGAGTTAGTGTTGCAGAAGGCTTTGGACCGAGAAAAGCAGCCTGTGATCACCATGACACTGACGGCTGTAGATGGAGGGAGTCCTCCGAAATCAGGCACCTCACAGCTTGTTATTAATGTTTTAGACAATAATGATAACCTTCCGATATTCAGCGAAACGTTATACAAGACAAAAATTACCGAAAACACGCCACTGGGCACAACAGTAATCGCCGTGAACGCCACCGATGCAGATGAGGGCCTGAACAGTGAGATTGTGTATTCACTGAGAAGTAAAGATCAAGATCGCGTACTTGATATATTTGAAATTGAAAGTCAAACGGGTGTCATTAAGGTAAAAGGCAATATAGACTTTGAAGACAAAAAAGCTTTTGAGATACGTGTAGAGGCCAGTGATAAAGGGCAGCCTCCGATGTCCGCTCATTGTAAGGTGCTGGTCGAAGTGGTGGACATAAATGACAATGCTCCTGAGATCACTGTGACATCGCTACACACCACAGTGAAAGAGGATGCTGATGTAGGCACCGTCGTTGCTCTGGTGTCAGTGCTCGATAAGGATGGTGGGAAGAACGGCGATGTGAAAATTCAAATTAAAAATGAGGTTCCACTCAAACTCGAAACGAACTACAAAAATTATTATTCTTTGTTAGTTGATGGACCCCTGGACAGAGAGAGCGTCTCTAGCTACAATGTCACTATAGTCGCCACTGATAGAGGAACCCCGTCACTCTCCAGCACGAGTGTACTTTCTATACAAGTTTCTGATGTCAATGATAACGCACCTCTGTTCCCCGAGCCCATAATTAATGTATATGTGAATGAGAACAGTCCAGTGGGAGCAATTATTAAAACAGTGTCAGCAACTGATGCTGACGTTGACCAGAACAGCAAGGTGAGCTACTCATTTTTACAAAGTAATAGTAACTCGTTACCGTTATCTACAATGATAAACATTAACTCAGAG